CATCATTATTCTGTGAAGTTGATTAATATTATTTAGATTTATAATAAAAGAAGAAAATTACTTAGTAATTAAATTACTTGAATTAAAAGAAGATTTCTGAACTTATTCTAGCAGTTCAACAAAATAAACATGTTATTACTTATCTTTATTAAATTAGTCTCTCCCAACTTTATTTACTTTAAATATACAAAAAAAATCTTTAATAACTCTTCCACTTAATTGAGATACATGAAAAACATGTGCTCTATACTTGAAAGTTAATAAACCAATAAAAATGATAACAATATTAAATTATAACTTATAAATTTTATTTTAATATAAAAACAAAAATTATTTCTTAATATAAAAAGAAAATTTTAATTTTTACTATATTTTATTAATAAAATTGACTCTTGATTGCAAATTTTTGTTTATTAATTATATTATCACTGTTTTACTTGAATTTCAAATATATTTTTACATATTCAATATGTGTTTCAAGTCAGGTGGGAGAGATAAGATAAATAGCTAAAGGTGATGACATGTATTCATTTAATTATTAGTTAGCTAAAAAGTGACTTAAGAAATCTTCTTATAATTTAATATATATTTAATAATTACAATGATAGTTTATAAATAAGTAAAATATTATAAATTTAATTTATTAAATTATTTTAACAATATGATATCACAATGTGTGAGAGATCAAACTATAAATATGATATTACAAATATATAAAAGATTATTAACATAACATTACAACATGTAAGAGGTTATTAATATAATATTACAAATATGTGATAGATTATAATAAAACTAAAATAAAACTTTAAAACTTAAATAATGAAATAATAAAATAATAAAAGGAATATTTAAATATTCTAAATGTGTTATTTTCAAAAGAGCATTATTACCAAAAACGTTTATTTTTGAGTCAATAATATTTAGAATTTAATTAATTAACTAATTGTCTTGTTAATTGACTAACTTATTAACTGACTTTTCTAAGCTAAAATACATGCTTCTTTTATATAAAATTATTAAATCAAAACTATTAATGATATTTACAAAAAAATTGCTTATTCACTTGCTTGCTCGCTTGCTTATTTGCTTGTTTGCTTGCTTACTTATTTGCTCACTTGTTTGCTTGCTTGGTTATTTATCTTGTGATCTAGTATAAATATAGATTATCTAGTATAACCTAAATAAATAATCTACATATTGTTTATAAATAATAATATAAATGTGATACAAATAATAATATAAATAATAATATAAATAATAATGTAATACGAAATGTAAATATAAAGATCTTAACTAATTAAAATATAAACATGTGTTCTCAAAATTATCCAATAAGATTAAATGATAATTTTGACTAATAATTAATGTGAAATTCCATTATACAACAATATAAAATTTTAATGAATATAAAACATCTGATATAGAAGTTTTATCAATTTTAAAAAAAGTAAATGATCAGTATTTATATTATTTTTTGTTTTTAGAAATTTTTAGAATAATACACATGATCTATAAAAAATTAGGGATATTCAGATACTTATAATTACTGCTATATAATCAATTATAATTACTAATAATTAATTAAAATTTTATCAATAATAAATGATAAGAATGTTGATAATTAATTATTAATAAATATAATTATAAATTAATTATTAATGAATATAGAAATTTTTTAATTATATATATATTTATTTAGTTTTATTTTTTGTAAATAATATAAATTAATAAATTTAACTTATTTTTGTTTATATATTTTTAGCAAATTGTTATCTATATATATTTTTTTGATATACAATCAAATTTTTTTATAATTATCACTCTCAAAAAAGCAAATTTTGATAATTATAAAGAAAATATAACTAAAAATAATGTAATAATTATTGCAATATAGTGACAAATAAAATATTATCTAATTGCAACTAGTTGTAACTTATAAAATTTTTGAAATTGCAACATATTGCAATAAGTAATAAATAAGTATTATATACTTGCTGTACTATCTTTAGATATAACTATAAAGAGATTTGTTTAATATATTTATATATAAATAAAAAAGCAAAATAAAATGACTATAAAAAAGTGTAACTATAAATAAATGTGACTATAGAGAAATTTGACTGTAATAAAATCTAAAAAAAATATTTATTTAAATATAATTAATATTTATTATATAATAAGATCTAAAAAAATATTTGTTTAAATATAATTAATATTTATTATATTATTAAATCTATTTTTAAAATTAAATTTTTATTTGATTTTTTTAATAATAATATATTTTTTTTTGAGTTTGCTAAATAATAAAGAATTTATATTTCATTTTTTTAGTTTAGTTATTAGTAGTTTTATATTTAATTTATATAAGTTATATTATTTGATTATAATTTAATTAATCAAGCTATTATAGTATTATTAGTATTTTTGGTTAAAAATATAAAAATATTTAAAATATTAATATATTTAATCAAATTATTTTTAGTTAAAAAATTATTGTTGAATTTATTAAATTATTAAAAATCTTTTTAAATATATTTTTTTATTAAATTTTTATTTTTTTAATAAACTTAAACTTTATAAATTTATTTAATAATTCTTAAAAATATACAGTCAAACTTTTTTATAGTCATTACCTTCAGAAAAGTAAACTTTGATAATTATAAAGTAAATGTAATTATAGAAAAATTTTTTTGTTATATTTATATATAAATGAAAAAGTAAAACAATATAAATATAGAAATATGTAACTATAAATAGGTATAACTATAAAGAAATTTGATTATAGCTTTAAAATTAATATATCATAATTCTTTTTTGATATTTTTAACTAATATTTATATTTTTAATATTATTTTCAGATTTTTTTAATTAAACTAAACTTTTTTTTCAAAGTTAAATATTAATCTAGTTATTTTCTTTCTGATTTATATTAAATAAAATTATTATTTCAAGTATTATTTTTTAATTTGATCTTTTTTATTTTTAGTAATTTTTTTCTTAAAAATTTTAGTTTTTTTATCTATTAATAATTGAGTTTTTTGTTTATAAATAAATTTTTTCTTTTAATTGTTCTAGTTAAAAATAAACAAATCTTATTTAATATTAATATTTGTATTTATTTATTTAAAAAATTTATTTTAATAATAATTATATAAATTTTTACTTTGATTATATTAAGTTTAATAAAAATTATAATTATATTAATAATTATTTATAAATTATTAATGATTTTTAAAGATTATTTTAATATTAATTATAAATATATTGAACTTTTATTGAATCTTTATTTCTAAATTTTATAAAAAATAATAATTGGTTATATATTTAAATATTTATATTAATAATTAAATTAATTATTCAAATTTATATTCTTATAAATTAAATCAAATTTTTATCTAAATTTAAGTTTAATTAAAAATTAAACTAAACTTGAATTGGATTTTAATTTAAATTTGAAAAAAATTCAAGATTTAAATTGAATTTAAATTAAATTTTTTGATAAATTTAATTATTAAACAAAATTTGAATTTAAAAAATATTTGATATTTGAACTGAATTCAAATTAGACTTTTGGTAAGTTTATAATATTCAAAAGTACTAATTTGAAAGAATTTATAAAAAATTAAAATTTGAATTAAACTTTGAATAAGCTTTAAAAAAATATAAAATATGTATCAAAAACAAATCAATTCAAATAAAACTTTATAACAAATCTATATAAATACAAAAAAATGAATCAAATTTGATTTTGATTTTAAAATACAATATATTATACTTCATGATTTATTAACTTTATTATATTTATATTATATTATATTATTTATTTATTTATTTTAAAATATAAAATTATTTTTTGAATAATTTAAAAAAAATATAAATTTTATTTATAATATCATCTTCTAAATTGAAGTTGAACATTATCTTTCAAATTAATATTTTCTTTTTATATATTTGATTATATTTCTTTCATAATATTTTAGTTTTACTTTAAAAAAAGTATTACATTATTAAAAGAAATTATTATTGTATTTTGAATAGAATTAATTATCAAAGTAATTGTTACTTGAATAATAATTGTATATAATTCTGTTTTTAAGATGCTATTTAATAAAAAATATATTACATGTACAACATATATGTAATTATTTGATCACGTTTTTAATTATTTTATTAGTTAAAATAAAAAATCTAATTGGTCAGATTGACTATTACATCAGAAGATCTGCAATTTAAAAATTGGTGCAATGTTATATCGTTATATCAATATGAATTGGATCAGTTTCTATTTTTGATATTTATGTATTCAAGTAATTTTATTGGTCAAGTGGCCATGCACGTTACACATGCAGAATAATCACAATCACAAAAAACTGCCCAAATTTAAGTTCCATTTCTTTGCATAGAGCATCGTTGCTAGCCACCTTGAACTTGAATAGCAGCTGCAATTTGACTTCAATTTGCAGTTTAGACTTATCAAACAACAATTAGTGAAAGAGCCCGATTAAAAGAAAAAGTAAAGGAAATCTAGCATGAATTAATGAACAAGCAAGCTTGGAAAGAGAAACTGTGGCTTTTAATAATTTTAACCTCCCTGTTCACTTTGTATTTTTTACGTTTGTGGTAGTAATAAGAAAATAAATAACAATAGATAAAAAGTAATATTGATTATATATAAATTCTACTTTTCAATATTTTACAAATTATTTTTTTTGGCTTTTGATAAGTTTTTGAATATAAAAATGCGTTTGCTAGTTCATATTGCCTTGCAAACTCACAAAGCTCCGTACCAAAATTCTTTTATAATTAGCTATATATCTATATCGTTCTCACTTCAGACGTTTGACTTTGACACCAAGAAATACTTGGTTTTGCTTAATTACTAGCAATGCATGCATCAATACCACTTGACTTCTAATTCCCTTTCCTTTCCCACACCATCCCATCCCATCACTTTACTTCATTTCCCACTATTATTGATAAATTCATTCAGCATAATTTTAAACCAAATGTCCATTCACAGTACCGCCATTCAGTGATCCATTTAATGAACCATTCAATGAACCATTCAATGAACCGTTTAACACGCCATTTATAGTTCCATTCAATGTACCATTTAGATTACCGTTCAGAGTACCATTTAATGGGCTATTAATTACACTGTTCAAAGATCCATTATCTGCCCATGCCCGCAATACATCCATTACTTCATATGGATCTGATGCATTAGTGGCACTTTGTATCGCTGGTTCCCTGCAAAAATTATGATAATGAAATGGATTTACTATTTTTCGCACTTTTTATATTTCTTAAATTGATTTTCCATTGACAGACTTACGTGAGCCGTAAGAATGGATTATATTCCAACTCTTCACCGATTGTACTCGGAACAGTGCAACGATTCATTTGACTCCATGCCAATTTTTTCTGAAATTGATATATTTATAGATGAGATTTAAATGATACAATTATACAATAGGGAACCAACCAAAACTTACAAGTAAATTCTGATTATTTTGATCTACTGTACTCGCAAACTAACAAAAGAGAAGATTGTTATTAATTGGGTGATCATAAAATTATTAATTATTCGTATCAATAATTTACCTGTAAATTTGTTAATGTGCTTTCGTGACCACAGTAAACCTTGGTGTCCTTTGGTAATCGTCCTAATACATTATAAAGTGCATTGTACATATCTTTTGCTTCCCCTTCGATAAACCTTCCGCATCCACCTGCATTACAATAAGTAAACACGTAAGCGCTTCAGAAGCAATGAACAAGGAGATCAATGCGTGAAGAAATGCTATAAATTACCAATCAGTAAGGTGTCTCCGGTAAACACCGCTTTTTCTAATTCCTCGTTCATTTCATTGCCATCTCGAACGTAATAACACACATGGCCTTTAGTGTGACAAGGTGTGTGAAAAGATCGAACTTTTAGGGTGCCAACCTAAACCAGAAATCACGTGATTAGAGAACGGATCATTAGCCGATCAATGAACATATGTACTAACCGTGAACTCCTCATTGTGTTTACATACATAATTCAATTCTACCAAGAATAAATCGTGTATTTAGAGAATTAAATTAAGGAAGAAGAAAAAGGTTATAAGAAAAGAAATATAAGTGAACCTGGTATTCGAGCGTCGGCTCCGTAAACAGCAAGATTTGGTTTCTTGCGTACTAATTCAATATTACCATAAGCATGTTTACTTTTATGAAATTTGAATGGAGGAACGATTAATTATTTTTCCAAGTGATTCATTTCTTTTTGTAATTATTTTCTTTACTTACTGATGGTGATGTGTGGTTAAGATTGAAGTAAGTTTTGCTCCGGTTTGAGCGAGGATTTGCATTACTTTACTCGGTTCTGCTGGGTCTACGGCAGCAGCTAAATAGAGAACTGTTTGTTATTTGATTTAAATTTTAAAATCGCGCCAGTATTTTTCACTAACCTTCATTTGCTTTATCGTCTACGATAAGATATGAATAATGGTGTTCAAACGTTAAAATTGGTATAATGCGCATAATGTCACGCGAAATTCGGGGGAGTAAATAGAAAGCGTTTCTTGGGAACTAAATGGCTTATTAGAAGGGGCTTTTTACTCTGGACACTAGTTCTTATTACTATTATGGCGTATGGTTAATATTATTATACTGCGAATGTAAATAATATCCAGGTTTTGCGTTTTTAGATAGTGATAGTGTAGTAGAGATCGTGAGTGAATACAAGCTTATTATTTGAATGAAATCAAAAAGTTTTTATCATTGTATAATGACAAAAAGATTGATTTAAAAATAAAGAATGGAATAAATCAGATATTTCAATTGTGGAAAAAGAATTTTTATATAAAATAGAGATAGTACGTGGAGAAGAAAAAGCTAAAATGATCTATGATTATAATTATTATTTTATTTTATATGAAATTGATACTTTGTTCTTTAATCTGTGATAAACAACACGATCATTGGTATAATGAATGAATGAATGAATCTCTCACTTTCTTACTCTTCTCTGCAAGCATAATCCCAAATATCAACATTTTTAATAGTATATGAAAACCTAGTACAATAATAATCCTATTGCTATAAAAGCTTAATCTTTTATTTTTTTAAATTTACTCACACAACATCTAAATTATAGACATTATGTGTGTGTAATCATCAAACCTCGCGCGTCGTAACACCCAACAAAAGTCTTGGCAATTTCTGAAAAGAATTGTCTGATTTCTTGGCATTTTCGTCTCTTTTTATACGTGGATATTTAGTGGTGATACAGTATCACCTTCTATAATTGGTTCTGTTTAAGGGAAAAAGTTTTATGATTGTATCGTGTGCTTACCATGAATTACACAAAGGTAATCATATATATAACCTCTTAATTTTGGCCTAATTTGGCATTACCAGCATTATACAGTAGAAACGGGATCGGCCCAAGCTCAAATCATGAGTGCATTTTATTATAATCGGAATTTGGAAATCTCGCTATATACATGTATATAAGGGGATTGTTATATCCAGATTTGACTATACCCTAATTTATTTTTATATTATATATTTCTAAAATAATTCCAAAAATGAAAATTCATTGTGCATACTTCTCTGGTCCTGAAATCTCTGGACCGGTCTGGACCAGTCCGAATATAGTATAAAAGAGGTTTTCTTCACATGCAAAAAAATGTCGCTTCTAATAAACTCTAAATCGGTCCTGAATCGATTCGTAAGTCCTCGGTCCGGCCTAGTTCTAAGTAGGGTTCTGGTCGAATCGGTTTTTTACAGTTTAAAACATCATAATACGCCAATTTTTAAATTGCAGATCTTATCACGTAATAATTGTGGCGGATTAAAATGAAACCAGATTAAAACGAAACAGAGTGTGATGTTTAAATAATCATAGGTCAATTTACTACAGATTTTAATGCTATACCCTATGCTCTAACCTAACCCTAACCCTTCTCTGAAATTTTTATTCCATAAAAATAGATCCAAATTTTATTTTGATTTGATTTTATTATAATCTGGTTTCATTTTAATCTGGTTTCGTTTTAATCTGTCACAATAATTAATATGACCAATTAGATTTTTTTATTTTTTAACTAATAGAAATAATTAAAATATGTACTTAGATAATATAACATATTTTTCATTATACTCTAATATATTTATTATTAAATAATATCGATATATTTTTCATTATATAAATACAAGTAATTCTTATAGCAAAGACATTCAAAAATATATTATATTAAGAGTTTATTAGTAAATTTATTATAATGAAAGAATTATCTTGAACTAAACTTTATTATATCAAAATTTTAATTAGTTTTTACTATAACAAGATTTTATTATAATAAGAATTACTTGTAGCATATTTTTTATTAACTAATATAGTATATTTTTTATTAAATAATATAATTTATCTTATAGTACATATTTTTTTTCAAAATAATATATATATTATTATACTTATTTTTTAATTTATAAATTATTTTGTTTGAAAATAATTTTTGTATTTTTAAAATATTATTATTATATAATTTTGCTTTATTATTAAAAATAAACTTTTATTTAGTTTTAATAAATTCAAATTTTAAAAAAATATAACTATAAAAAAGTTTTTTTATTATATTTAATTATAAATAATAGAAAAACAAAAAATATGACTATAAAAAAGTTTTTTATTATATTTAATTATAAATAATAGAAAAACAAAATAATATAACTATAAAAAATACAATTAAATAAATGTGACTATAAAAAGATTAATTATATTTAATTTAATATATTTTAATTGGTTCTTCTTATATATTTAATTTTTCTTTGTATTATATTAATATTATTTTGTGCTATATTAAGTTTATTTCATATTTAATTAGTTTTATTGTGTGATAACAAAGAAATATCAATAGTATTTTAGTATTTTAGCATATGTTAACACTAAATTTAAATGTATAACACTTGGCAAATTGAAGTAATATTATATATTACTTATAATATATAAGAATATATTAGATTTTAATTAATTCTTTTTAAGATAAAAATAAATATATAAGTAATATATATTTTAGCTCAAAATTATCATCAAGTCATAAAATAATCAAATTATTAATTTATATATTCTTTAATAATATTAAATAAAATTTGGTTGTGACTTATATTAGTTTGATTTTTTAATTATATTGCTTTAATAAGAAACTATTATTTATATTTTATTTATTATTTATTATTTGTATTATTATTATTTTTGAAATTTGAGAAATGTCAAAAAGGTATTATATTAGTTTGATTTTATGTTGCTGATCTAAAAAAGATAACATTTATATTTAATTTATTTTTATTATTCATATTTGTATTTTTATATAGTTATTATTGATCAGTACTTCAGAAAAGCTTTGATAGTTATTATATTTATATTTGTATATAATATTATTATCAGTATTTTGGAAAAGTTTTGATAATTATTTATTTTAATTTCATTAAGTTTCTTGTTAAAGTTATATATTCTTATATTTTTATATTTATTTTATTACTTATATTTTAATTTATAGAGTAAAATTCTTAACAAACAGAGATCTGTTATAATATGACTATTTAGTTCTTATTTTATTAATTAATTCATATTATAATTTAATTGGATAAGATTTTGTTATATTTTATTAATTAAAATTAGTTTAATTTAATTGAATAATTAATTAGTACTTTATTATTGATTCTTTATTTATATTAACATTAGTAATATCATTAACACTAGCAATATAAGTAATACTAATAATACTTATATAAATATTAAATAATATTAATAATACTTGTAATCAAATAATCTATAAGATTAGTATTATTAACAAAATTAATCTATAAAATTAGCGCTGATAACAAAATTAATCTACAAATTAGTAATATAAGTATCACGAATAATTATTATAAATATAATATATATTTTAGATAGAATTAAATAGGTTTCTTAGATTTTAGATTTCTCTATATTAGAATTAATAAAGAATTAATAACTCAAAAAGTTTCTTGTTTAATAGAAACTTTAGATAACTTGTAAAGTTATATTTATATTGATTTTTGATTTTAAAAGATAGATCACTTATAATAAATCATTATTATTAACTTAAAAAATAGTCACTTAATAAACTTATTATTTATAATATAACTTTTAAAGTTCTAAATAAATATATAAAACTTAGTAAAGTTATTGAACATCATTCTAGCTCATTATAATATGAATATATGTTATCTATCTTTAGTAATAAGTTTTTAATCTTTTTTATTATAATACTTAGTCTTTTTTGTTTCTTAATTAATAGAAATATATAATTAATACATTAAGAACCTAAGTCTATAAAAATGATAACAATAGTGATATATAACTCAAAATTATCTGCTAAAATCACTGTAAAATTATAAAAGTATTTAAAAATTAATTAGTAATACTCAATTACAAAATTTTTAAAAATTAATATATCTATATACGATTATTTGCATCTTCTGAGTATAAGTAGATTTATTAAGTTATTATTAAATGAAAAGAATAAGATAAATACTAATACTTATATTGCACAAACAATATAAAATAAAGAAGATTACCTGGTGAAATACATTAGAAAATAGGAAGATCATTATTATTGTATAATAAACTTTGATTGAATATTATACTGAATCATTCATACTTAATATTATTGAATTATAAATATCTTATATCTTATTAGAAGAATCTAATTATGTGGGACAAGCAAATAAACAAGTAAGCAAATAAATAAACAAGTAAATAAATGAGCAAATGAGCAAATGAATAAGTAAATATTGAACTAATAGAATTTAAGTAATATAGTAAACATAAATTCGTATAGCTGATAAACTATATTTTGGATTTGTATAAAAGTAACATGTATTGTAGTTATTAGAATTAGATATGAACAAGTTCTTTTAAATAATAATTCTTAATCATATCTAATTAATTATTACATAGTTTTGATCATTCAAAAAAGTAAAGTTTGCACTTTATGTAGAGTAAATAATCAAGTGCAAACTTCTCTCTACATTCCTTTGACAAAGTATTCTTGTTTCTTGTATAATCACTTTAGCATTGTTATCATAAGTATTATACAGATTTTAAATTAATATTATAATAACTTAGACACATTTGTCAGGAGTATCATAAAAGCTATCATTTTATTACTAGATTATCTGAACACATTTGTGATGAAATCTATTGAATATTATATTAAATAAAGAAATTATTATTGTAATTCATAAATCTGTCTTTGAGATTGTATTGCTGATAATATATTACTCATAAACTTATCTTCAATTTTGTATTGTTGATAATATATTATTCATTTTTGATCTCATATTACTAATAATATAAATATTATAATCTCTATAAATTTAACTCTGAGATTTTGAGAACTTTTTTTTAGCAGTTCAAATTATTATATTTAAAGAATACAATTATTATCAATCTTTAAGTAGTTTTGTCACTAGTACTTTTAGTATTTAGTCTAATAATCATAAAATATTAT